TTTCTTCATTACCCATTTAAGCCGTCTCCAGCCATTATTAACCTTAGTCTTTGATTGAAACATCTATGAAAAGACCTAGATCTAGAAGAAAAGGGAAACCGACAGTAGGAAACTCACAAATAAACAACACTTCAAGACACTTGAGTAGTAGGAGGAATTTCAATAGATAACAGATCTAAGGATAGACTCCACGAAGGGGCAAGAGCCCACTGGCAGTATTTGATGTAAGCACAATCCACTGGAATTGCCAGGTAAAGAGAAATTATCTTCAAATAAAAGAGGATGTGTTTGGCACATGGAGAAGTTTGTGCATCTGAAACTTAAGGGATTGAAAACTAAAGGAGATGTGTGAATAATTCATGAGAGAGTATTAATACTAAATCTCAGATGAACAAGATGTTGAGTAGGCATAAACTGAGACATGAACTCGTGAACAATCCATATAAAGGAATCATAGATAAGCAAAAAATCTGAGATGACACCCAAAAGTCCATACAGAGGTATCATCCAGAATAAGAGTTAGTGAATTAGTCTTAAAGACCAACTTTGCTCGTACTGACATTAGGCTACACTAAAAGTACAAGTAGATGCAAAACACTTGAGTTATCATTTTATACTTCACTTAAATTGTGATTTTGCATTATGATACAAAATGTTTTTTATGGAACAAGATGAGTTAGGACTTGTTAGATTATTTCGCACAATTCATTGCATTAAGTTTTGTTTCACTAATAAGGATGCTGTTTGTTAGGCAGTATTTACATCAGGCTTTATTGGCTTAAATAACTGCTTGAATGGGTAAAGAAAATTAGTAAACCAAAATGTAAAAAAATATATGAATATAAAATAGGTCTAAGGCTCTTTAGATATGTTAAATGAAACTTTGTGAATAACAATTAAAAGAGAGTTAGCTTGCTTAAAAATTTTGCTATGATAAAAACTTATTTTTTATTGTACATCTTATCACAAAAACAACCAATAAAACTGTGTGCAGTGTTTTGGAATCAAAACAAAAATTAAATTTATATTTTACAGAATAAGAACTTTATGGGCAAGAGTTACAAGAATGTAGGAAGACAGAAAAGTCAGTAATTGGAATCTATAACAAACGAGAAAAGCATTTTTAATTTTTAAAAATATATCACAGTGAAATATTTGACTTTTCAAATCTGTAAATTTATAGAAATATCACAATTTAAAATTAGATATTATATTTTTCAGAAGCTATGTTTAGAAAGTTCATCTGAATTTTTAAAGAATTTCTTCCAATGCAATGCAATAAAACAAACCATGTAATAGATGCATCAAATTGACACATCTGGAGGTTTAACAGTTGAAATAAGAATAATAAAAGTGAATGTACATGTGCATCCACGTGGCCAGTATGGCTATTAGCAGCAAGTTTAAATTATACAGAACATATTATTTCAAAGCTTCTCACTATCCATAACTCAAGTAGTCATTATTATTCACCAATACACATTATTGCTCTCCCTTAGAATTTTTGAAGGCAGTCAAATTTGGGGTAAATTTACCTAAAAATAAATAAATAAATAATAATAACTGCAGAAAATAGCATTAAATATTTTTTTTGTTTAAAAATAGGTAAATATAATCAACACTTACTTTTAACAAACATCTGTATACATGAACATCTCACCTTTCACATATATTAAAATTTTCATTACTCAAGCAGACTCTCCAAGAAGTACATCCACATCTTTTTAACTCAGTCTCCCAATCCTGGATCATGGTGAATGTCCAGGAAGAAGGATGAACAGACTTCACTGCTAAAAAAACAAGTGTGAAAGTTGTTATTATATATACACCCTATTAACCCTCTCAGTAGGCCGAAGTGCACGTCACCAGTCAACAACTTTTTACAAGTTGCATTTAACAGTTAAACTACTTTATTATTAAGTTATATAAATAATCTTTGGATCAAAATGTTGGTCATAAATTAAAGTTTAATATTATACGTTTCCCTTTCTTATTTCCAAATAAAATATTTAAATAAATTCTATCTCCCCTTGTCTATGTAACATGGCGTTTGTTCTGATTTGTTATCTATTTTCCATCACCCCTCTATAATGTGCAGTTTAATGTAAATTACTCATTATAGGACACCTATTGAGGCCTAGCTTAATTTTATGGCCTTCAATCTTCTTTCATTATGAAGATATAAACTAGAAAGTCAGGCCCACTCACCATCATCTCTATCATCCTCTCTTTCACAAATTGACATTAACTCTCTCTAATGTTTGCTATTACATCATTTATAACCAACTGAATGAAAAAGTTTTAATTTACCAAAAGACATACAATGTTACCTTGTTCTCAGCAGAGATTTTTAGTTATTCCATCTAAAGATTCAAAGCTGCTATCACCAAGTTCAGATCGAGCAACTACGAAAATTATTTTGAGGCACTTAAGGCCAGTTAATTTACAATAGTTATAAAACACTGTTTAGTGTGTTATTATTTTGTGTTGTAAGATGCATATTTCAAATAAATAAAAATTATTCAATGAATTAGTCCCATCATTTCAAAAAAGTACAGTTAAGTTTCACCAACAGAATAACAGGGAAAAAAAAATCAACATGTAAGAACTAAATACCTTGTTTTTTTATGTACATTTTTTATTCATTGTTAAAAACCAATATCACTTGTAAAAACAAAAATAATAAAAAGATTTCTCCACAAGATACACTCACAACTAGCTTATGTGACTTACAGCTTGTATCATGGGATTATCAGTTAGATACGATTCAAAAAAGAATCAAATTAGGTAAAAACAAATGTAAACTGTTATTAGTATTAGGCTGTTTACTACAAATAATTGTATTTTTTTTGTTACAACCTGCAATCATTCTAGAAAGAAAAAGGGTAATTTAGATTTATTTCATATCTTTTATGATGGTTACTAGTCCATACAGTGTTAGGGTAGAAAAAATAACAAACAAAATATAGTTTTACTGAACAAACTCTTTTGCTATTCATTTAGGTTTTAAAGGTTAGGCAAAATAAAACATGAAAACTGTAAGACAAACAAAATATTTAATCTTAACATGAAAATCACCTTGTACTCAGACTAGTCAGAGTCGCACTCTGACTTTATATATTTACAGATAAATCTTTACAAAGAAATACTTAATCAAAAATCTAATTTTTTTGTGTATAAAAGAACTGTAATTTTTACTAAAAGTTTTCTAGATTTCATGAAGATAAAATTACTACATTAAAAGTTATAGTATGAATACTTCCAGGGTTACCCAGTAGTTGCAAAGTCAGTCAAAGTGACTAAGTCTATGTTGATAGAATAAAAGAAAATCCACTTAGTCTATATAAGCCAATTAAATGTCACGTAAGATAATAAGATTAATTTAGTAAACAATTAATCATTATGTGCAGTTAGCAAATTTCAACAGTTCTTACACATTTAAAGTTACCACAACAAATAATAAACAATTCACACTTATTCTGACACCTGGAGGACAGATGAATCTATTAGAGATACTGCCTAAGAATGACATACCTAAAATGACCAGAAATCGCATATTTAAAAATAAACAAAGAACTACAAAATTTTTCTTAATTCAAAGCAGATTTCCAACAAATTAAACTATGAATACAAGATCAAAGATATTTTATTTTGTAGTACAAACTAAAACTTTACTAGTAGTATTATCTAAAATAAAGGTAAATGTTTAGTTAACTCTCTCGCTACATGCTCAGTCAATTCGACTTAGTTCGTGACTTCAAACTGACCTTTAGAGTTTTGATACTATAACTTTTAATATGTTTTGTGTATCTTAATAAAATTTTTCACACTTTCAGTAAACATTAGTAGTATTTCTCACACAAAAAATCAGATTTTTTAAATTAAGGTTTTTCCTTCACCTTTATACAGGTATTGAAAGGATATTCCAAATGTGTTTTTCGATATTGGTAAATAAAATGTTCTAAAAATAACAACTTCTTGGAAGAGCCAAGACATTAAAGAATTAATTCTGGTTCATGTTAGAAGATTTATGTAACAATTTTTATTAAAATGAATTTTATAAAGTTACTTTCTGAACATGAAATTCAATTACTACATAAAAATTATGTAGTTAAAGTGTTCAATCTTTTGCACCTAGTTACTCACTATCATATCTGAATAGTTAATCTTTTTTGATTTTGGTTATACAATGAAATAATTTTTAAATGATTTTTTTCTTTAAACATGCAATTTTGTTATAATTTTAGGATATCATAAAATAAAACCATAAGTAGACTGAAATTTACAGTTATTCACTTCAATAACATTTATGATTTACTCTTAAAATGATAAATCACTTAAAGTAAAACAATTATTTGTAAGAAAGATGAACTCAAAAATGCCGATAGAAAATGCACTGAAACTTAATTCACGTAAAATCTCATAGAGAGCAGCCAGTTAGAAATTTTCACTGGCAATGATGGGGTCTGAATGTTTTCACTTACGAAGATTTCTGTACTTCTACCTAGTATCATTACAAGGATAAATAACTTATTAGTTTATATTTTGATATAATTTTGTATGCATTCATTATTACACACTTAGATCAATATATATACTTTCCATTAGTTTATTTTTAATAATGTTTTGAAAGAAAAAAAAAGACATTCTTATAATGATTATCTGGTATATATATATATATATTTTTACGACAGTGGAAGTCACACGATGCTGGGAGCATGGGCGCTGGAGTTTCTAGAAGGATCATGACTTATCGAGGAATTCCACGAATATCCAAGTGTTTGCCAGGCGCCCTCTTTTTTAGTATATAAGCCCGGCAAATAAAGCCAGCGATAGAAGAGATATAGATAGATTGAAGAGATAGATAATTGAGTCAGGCGAACAGTAGGCACCGTAAGTAAAGTGTGTGAATCACTGCGATTTATAGCATGTGTTATAAAAGTAGTTAAGTTTAACGTACTGATTGGAAATTCTGTGTATTAGAAAGTTGCATTGAGGAAGAATAAACTAGTTTTAATTAAGAAAGGACTTGTATCACTGAAGTTCCTTGGAAAGAATTTATACCAAAAATTAACAAACGAGCAGATACGTAACAATATATATATACACTGAGTGGTCACAAGTAAATAGACACCTAATTTTTCTTCATTTAACTGACTTATG